CACAAATATCCTCCATCGTGAATGCAATCATTCATTCAACAGGAAAAACGTCGTCCTCTGAAATCTCAAATCCAATCAACATATATGTATATAAACAGAGACAAATTGAAATTAAAATAAAAAAACGTGTATCATCATCATCAAGCAGATTCGAATTCCAGAAAATGAAAAGAGGAGAGAATTTTGGAGGAAAAGAAAATGGAAGAAAACAATGGAAAGTGAAAGTAAAAGGTTGAAACCAAGTGGAGAAGGCGAAATTGACGATGAAATCCTCTGAAATTGATCATCATCGTCAATCATTCAGCGATGGAAGCTCCTCATTCGATCAACCCCCGAGCTGCATGCGTGCTAATAGAGAGAGAAAGAGAGAAGGAGAGATTATCGCTCGGAATCCTCCTCCATCGACGGCTCTTGCATGCATGGTTTTCGTTGAAGCTCCTCATCATTATTTTATATTTACCATTTTTTTTTTCTTTTTTAAATTTCAACAAGGCTTTGCTAGGAGATAGTCGAATCCTTAGGATTTTTTTTAAAAATAATTACTTTATTTTTAAAATTAATCTTATAAACTTTTTTTTTTTTTTTTTGTTATCGTATATTTTAAAAAAGTTTATATATTTAGAATTTAGCTAAAAAAAACTCATTTGTTCTCTTACAAAATATAAATTTGATGGTAGAGAAATAATGAAAAAATAAACCTAACTTTTAATTTTTTTTAAAAAAATAAAAATTATGGTTATTTCTAAACTTTTATAAGGTGTATTTTAGCAATTTAATCAACAAATTTTTTTTTTAAATAACTATTTTGTTATTTGTTATATTATTTTATCGGCATCGTATTTATTTCCTTTGAACGTTATCTCAAAATTATTTTTATTTAAAGTAAAGTAAATATTAAGAATAAAGAATAAGATAGAACAAATTTAAAATTTAAATATCATTTTTTTTTCCTTAAACTTTCAAAAGCTATTTCTTAATTTCTCGAATCTTGATATAAAATTAATTTTAATGATTAAAATTAAACTTTAAAAACCAAAATAGATTTTAAATTATAAATGTACTCTTTTTCATTTTCATCTTTTAATTTAAAATTAGTCCAAAAACTTTGATTAAAATTTTTACATTTAGTCCAAAATATATTAACATATGGAAACTTAAAATTAAATTTATGGTGAAGAAAAATGTGGGTTTAAAATTAAAATTTTTATCTATCAAATATATATATATATAGTCTAATAAATATTAAAAAATTTAAAACTGTCAAAATGGGTCTTGATCTATAAACTTTAAAATACATATTTTTTAAAATTTATGAACAAAATTTATAATTTAATTAATAATTATATAAGCCAAAAAATAATAATAAATTGAAGCTACATGGTCAAAAATTAGAATTTTTTATTGCTGTTTTAAATCCAAAATTTAAATAAAAATTCAAACGGCGTTTTCCCCGTCTTTTCATCCACTTCAAGTCTTCAACTAACCTTCTAAATTTTCTAATAATTAAATAAAGATTAAAATAATAATACTTTCTAGGCCGACAGCCGGCAAGCTCAAATATATTTTTTTAAAATAACAAAATTAAATAAAATCAAGAAGAACAATTCAAAACATACGCAATTTTAATTTTTTGGCCTTTTTTTTCTCTAAACTAACTAACCATCCCCGACAACAATATCCCCAATATTGTAATAAATAATAAAATATTTTTCTTTTTTAATTAAAGGAGATTAGCTGAGGATGAATTTAAAAAATAATTATAAATAGGATATTAGTTTTAAATAATAATAATAATAATAATACCTCAATCAACCATGATTTTTTCAATATTAACGAAATTAAATCTAATTTGGTTGAATTTCTCAAAATAACATTGACATTATAGATATTATAGATATTATCGGTGTTCAGGATTGACATTTGTTTTATAAAATAAATAATGAGCTAAGTTTGTGAAGTTTCAAAATTATATCTATTAATTAAGTTTTTAAAATTTTATATATTTGGTCATACCACACTATCCATATTATTTAAGAATTAATTTTCTGTGTTCCCGCATTTAAAGACAGGATCATTTAATTAACAGAGTTAATTACTTATTAAACATAAAATTAAAAATTCAAATCTTAAAAATTGGATACCAAATCCTAAAAGTTATATTTAAATTTTAAATTTTAATTAAATATAATTTTTTACATTCTTCTGTATCAAATGGTTAGATTAATGTGGCTTTGTGTGGCTCGAATAATTTTACCTTATCCATTAGGTTATGCTCGGAGGATCTTGTAGTGTCTAGGGTTGGGCCACTAATGCTTCGTGTAGCTTAACGTCCGTGGAGCTCACCGAAATCACGACCCTTTATCTCGAGCATAGTTTTAATCTCTAGTACAGAACTGTGCTAGGTGAACACGACTCTTCACAATGGTATGATATTGTCTACTTTGAGCTAAACATATTATTCTTTGATTATAAACTATGATCCTTCTTTAAATTAGTCAAAGACTTTCATTCATACTATTTGAAGTTGAATTAGCGAACAAATTGGTGGTATATTTATTGCATAATCAATAGATTCATACTCAAATTCATCTTGTTCTTCATTTTTCTAGAAATTTTTGTAAAAATGACCAAATAATCTAAGCAAGCAACCAAACAGAAATTGACTTGGTACTAAAATAATTTTTTTATTGAATTCCAGAAAAAGAGACAAGATTCATTCATAGTTCATCGTGTTATATAAACTCCAATCTATTTTGTTCCTAATTCAAGACGGCAAAACCGAGAAGGAGAAGAAATCGTACCAAATTTCCAAGCCCTAGCTTGTAATTGCAGAACAACGATGAACTCCGCCGCCAGGAATCAATTGCCATTGCGACTTCGAGGTCCAAGGCCACCGCCATTGACGGTGAACAAATCCTCCACGAAGATCTTCAAGAAATCGACAACGACGAATCTGCGTCCGATTCCGAATCGACGCGATCCTGTAATCGTTTACCTTAGATCGCCGAAGATTATCCATGTCCGTCCTGAGGAGTTCAAAAGCTTCGTCCAACGTCTTACTGGAAAAGGATCGTCCGTCGCCGTCGTTGCGGCGTCCTTTTCTGCTACTGGAATGATTGCCGATCATCCTGATGAGGAATGTGTATCGGCCTGCACTTACATTCCGTCGTAGCGTCCGCCGTTCTCCGGCGGTTTTTCATTGATAATTCGCAATTGTTTGGCAAGGAAGATCAGTTTTGTGATTCTCTTGGGCTAATATATGATGAAATTTATGAAATAATCTCTAATTTTTTGGTGATTTTACTCTTAATTTCTTGTAAATTAAATCGACCTTATTTTCAATGTGTGAAAATTCTTTTTCTTTTAAAATAAAATTTATTAAAACTTGTTTTGAATTTTTTTTTAATGAATTTCAAATTATTATTTTACTAAAATTGCATGAATTTCAACCGATGAGTTTAAAATAAAAATTGATATTAGATAAATTTTTATTTAAATTTGTGAGTTTTGATCGGTTATTTTATGGATAATTTTTGCAAATTTTGATATTAGTAAAATGAGTGAGTTAATGGATATTTATTATTATTATTATTTAATTAAAATTATTGAATTAATGAAAATTAAATAAATGGTAGAAATTGCAACATTTAACTATGTTTATCGTGTGGTAAAAATAACAAATTCAAAGTAAAAATTAAAATATTTCCAAAAAATAAAAAATAAAAAAATTACTACTTGGGATTACTAGTACCACTTCTTTTCTTTAACATTATTTAACGCTTATTATTATAATAATAATTATTATTAACGTATATAAATGAGTGCTTATTTCAAATTTTGATTTTGTGATCAAGCATGTCACTAGTAAACATTGTTTATTTTAGTCTGTTATCTATCATTGTCAGCCTCATAATGGTCTGTTATGTATCAACCTCATGATTTTAAAACGTGTCTGCTAAGTAGAGATTTTCACACCCTTATAGGCATGGTTCATTCTCCTCTCCATAGTAGACACGTTTTTAAAACGTGTATGTTAGGAAGAGATTTTTGTCTATTTTGGTCTGTTATGTATCATCATTAGCCTCACGATGATCTGTTATGTATCGTCATCAGCCTCAAATGATCTATTATGTATCGTCATTAGCCTCACGATGATTTGTTATGTATCGTCATCAGCCTCACGATGATATGTTATATATAGTCATCAGTCTCGCAATTTTAAAACGTGTTTGCTAGGAAGAGATTTTCACACCCTTAATAGGAAAACTTCATTCTCCTCTCCATAGTAGACACGTTTTCCCTTATAGGAAAACTCCATTCTCCCCTTCATTGTAGACACGTTTTTAAAACGTGTTTCCAGGGAGAGATTTTCGTACTCTTATAGGAATGCTTCATTCTCCTCTTCATAGCCGCATTTTTAAAACGTGTCTGTTAGGGAAAGATTTTCACACCCTATCCTTATACGAATGATTAATTCTTTTCTCCAACTGTCGTGGGATCCCACAAGTAATGTCCAAATCATTTATAAAAACTGACCCATGTAGCACAATAGCAAATTTAGCCTCAAAGTGTCAAAGTTTACAAATATCAATGGCTCATAAGAAGTTCAAAAGCTTCGATCCTAGATCAACACGTCCTTACTTCAAACTCGTGGACAACAAATAAGCCACACCACTTCCGAATGAACATAAGTTATTGGTAGAGGTCGAAATAATCCCTTTTTAAAAATATATGAACTAAAATAAAGTCTTATAGTATAAAGATCTAAAAAATTCAGATACCAAATAGAAACTAAACTTAAATCTCAATGACCCAAAAGTATATATTAAACGGTTTTGAAATATGGTCAGAGCTCTGAATACAAGCACCACTTACAATTCTGCAAACCCTCTCCTCTCAAATAAAAGATTTTAAATTGATAGAGATGGTGCATATACTATCACAACACCATGAAAGAACAACGATTAGAGGCCACAGGAAAGGAGAAAAGACTTGAGAGATTTGATGTTAAAGCAAAGGCAGCCATTGTGCATTCGACTGGCTATAAATCATTCTTCAATCTGAAATATACAGGAGAGGGCTATCAGACGTTACGTTCCTCGAGCAGAGTTCGTCGAAACAATACGAGTAAAGCATTCCTATATATATCATATCTGTGTTCTACGGATCAACCAGTCAAGTATAATCAATCCTAGAACAATCAAATAAACGAATGACTCGCACGCTACCCCTTTCTGCCACTACACAATGAATCCAAAAAAAGAGAAGCCAAAAGAGAAATCGTATTCACTGGACATACACACATATTCCGGACGTCGGGTTTGATTGGATATGAACATCAGGTGGAGCGGTACTAAACTTGTGTGCTTGCAAGACATCTCCACTGTCTCGTGTCCGGACCCTGTTCGAGAAGCAATAGCAAGCCAGCACTGTTTGACAACCCAAACAAGTACCTGCAGTCCCATAAGAGATATGAATAATGGAGGTTGGAACATTACTATCACAAACTTTCTCATAAACCCGAACGCACTTTCACGTGCTGGGAGGACATGGAATGCAAAAATAGAATGATATGTTTATAAAAATGTTTGGGTTCACTTGAAATCTTTTCGAGCTAGAGACTCCTTACAACATTGCTGTAACAGTCTAAGTCCACTACTAGCAGATATTGTTCACTTTGACCCGTTACGTATTGTCGTCAGTCTCATGGTTTTAACACGTTTTACTAGGGAGAGGCTTCCACATCCTTATAATAAGTGTTTCGTTCTCCTCTCCAACCGATATGGGATATCACAATTGCTATCTTCTACGGACCAAATATTGGTTTGATAGTAATCTAATCAATATAGCAATGCAAACAGGGAACACTATCTCCACAGTCCACCTCCATGCACAGATAAATAGATAATTGGAACGCATAGACAGAATTCAAGTAAACAACTACAAGATATAGGACGAAAAATCAAGAACATTATGGCAAGAAGCTACGTACTTGCTTCGACGAGCTTTTCTTTTCCATAAAACGAAGGATACGATACACTGCGGACACAAAACGTGGAAGAGAATTAGACAAAGTATGAGCAAAAGATAAAGCCAGCATTCATTCATAATCCACAATGAAGGCAGCATCAACAAGCATGTCATGGTTCAAAAGATCAAAAAAGGTTTCATGGGAACATCAGAAACACAGCAAAATCACCTTACAAACCGCCATGAAAGAAAAGCTCGACACAACGGATGGCTTCTTCACAACTACTTGCTTATCTGGTGACATCTCCTTGAATAGATGTTGAGCTATTTCTTTCAGTAACACCATTTGGGCCTTATCAGTTCGCATTGAAATAATTGCTTGTTTCATTGATTCTCTGTCTGCTTCAAGAACCTGAAGCCTCAAATAAAGTTTTCTGATTTCAGGGTCTCCAAAATCTACCTGATTTAGCGACCCTCTCGGCGTGGTTATATAGTCATCGTAAATGCCAACCGATGGTTTGGGCTCGTGAAAACCATTATATGTAGCTCCATTGTGTATAGAGTCAATGGTATAAACTCTATCACTCATGTCATCTCCAAGTTCTGATGCATTATCCATTTTTCTCAAATTAGAGAAGTCCTCACTCTGTGAGACATATTCCTTCTTGAAGCTTGATGATGTATATCTTGGAGAATCATTCACTTGGGGCATACCCATGGAGAAACTAGAATCAGTGGAAAACTTCTTCAAATGTCTTGGCCTCCTTGGAGATTGTCCCACTATTACCTTCTCCAAAACGTTATTAGTACAAGAGAAGTCAGGATCTAGGTGATTGTAGCTAGAACTTCTCTCCAATTGGCTGATCCTATTTTCCAAATCCATGACGTGATCTCGAGTACGCGGGGTCTCACCAAACGCATATTTCTCAATATCAGCAATATCATTATCATGATCAAAAGGACCTTGAGCCTCGTTTAAGCTGCATCGTAAGGGAGGGTAATCATACATCGGAGATTCGCATTGTGCCTCGTATTCCACCGTATTCTGGCTACTATTCTGCTGAACCCTCTCGCCATCAGCCTCGGCTTCCGTTAGCCCATAGCTCATCATTCTATGTTTATATGCTTGTACCTCACAAGTGAGGGATTGAATAACTTGCTCTCTTTTATATAACAAGTCCTCAACTGCTGCAAGCTCCTGTAGATCATGTGCCATCTTCTCTTCGGCGAAGCGTTTGAATTGTCGAGCCTCCATCTGGATCTCTGCCTTCTCCCTTTGCAATCTCAATATCATTGACATTGCCTCATTAGCAGCTGAGGAAGAAGCATTCCTCTCCTCTTCGAGTTCAATATACAAATCCTGAATTGTTTGTTTTTGATTATTAGCCATCTCCCGCAAAGCATTGCATTCATTCTCAATATGTACCCGTATGACAGAAAAATTATCCAACCCAACAATAGCAAGTGGGCCAAAAGAATCCGATTCTTCATACTTCCTTTTAACAGATCGAATCCAAGTAGTGGATGGCCCAGTGGACAATGAACAACTGCAGGGGCAATTACTGCTTTTTACAATTTCCAATGAAGATGGAGGTGCCTTGAAATCCATAAACCAATGTGCATTCAAACTCTAATCAAATTGTATATGAAATGCAACACAATGTGATTCTACAACTAAGGATAAATCCAAACAAGATAACAGAACCCGGGAATGAAATTCACAAATCCACTCTCTTGAATTATGGATTTCTGTATTTAATTCTCTCCCCTCCTAAAATCAGGTCTTCTTCCTCCGAGATCAGAAACACAGGGAACAGAACTACCTAATAAGGAAAATGAAATGAAATCAGAACTTAATAACAACAAATCTTCATACCAATACAACAATCTAGATCAAAAACCAGAGAAAACGACGAACATTCATAGGCTCTTTCTCCTTCCGTTTCAAAAAATCATTTCCATAATACGAAATCATACCTTGAAGGAGCTAAAACGACCCGAGAAGGCGTGGAAAGAATTGAGAATCACAAACTGTTGGTATTTTCCCGCGAAAATTCCAATTCCCCCAAACAAAATCTGAAGAAACTCAGATTAAGAAAACCTTCCCCCACTTCTTCAAATCAAAAAATCAAGCTTATAACCCGAAAAAAAAAATTAAGAACAGAGAGGAACAACAAATAGGGGAAAGCTTTCTTGGAGGGAAACAGAATTTGGAGGGGAAGAGAATAAGAGAGATTTGGAAACCCTAAATTAAATGAATTCTTTGTCGTATCAGGTCTCTTTCATTCGGATTTCTCGATTTCTGCGATATTGTTGATGAAAGATAGAGAGAGAGAGGGAAAAAGCTCTGAGCAGAGAGAATGGGAGAGAAACGAGCGAGAGAGAGAAAGAAAGCGAGATGGACCGTTAGATTTCTAAGTGAATCGCCGATCCGTTGGAGGTTCGTTTGTCGGAGCGATCTTTTTTTACCAACTAATTTCCTCGTCATTTCAATTATGATTTTCCTTTTTCTAATTTTCTTTTTAAGATAATTGTAAATTCCATTTTACTATCTTACCCCCTTCATTTTTTAATTTTACAAAATTACCCTTTTCCATTTTTTATTTTCTCTATATTTTTCACGTTTTAAAAATTAATATTATAGTTCTTAATTACAACAATTTTTTTTGTAATTGTTTAATATTATTAAGGGTTTATTTGTAAATTCAATCAGTTTAGGAGGTTGATAAAATGCACATATACTATAAATCCTATTTCCATTTTTTTTTTAATTTTTTAAATTAAATTTTTATTTTTAGGTAATTATGATTTTTTTTTTCTAATCATGGAAGATTTTGACTTCCTTGATATATCCATTCGGTTGGTTGATTTTGACCGACAATATTCTTTTTTTTGTTTTTAAAGATAATAACAAAATTATATCCGTTCATTAAATAGCGATTCTATGTAATCTTTTTGGATTAATGTTGTTGTGTAGGTGATACTTTAAATAAACTTACTTAATTAGTTATTATTATCGATTTTGAGCGTAAGCTTACAATTTGTCACTTGATCTAAATGCCCGAGAATAGTGTGTGAGCTCGAACTTGAATTAGGTTAAGAGATGAAAGTCTGACAACATTTTGGTTGTCTTTGACCTACCACGAAGAACGACTAGATAATCTACCTAAAGAAAGAGGACACGACGGAAGACCTGCTGCATCAACTCGAACGAGAAACGTGAGTTCCCTCTAAGAGTGTTTGTGAGAACGTGAGTAATCCAATCTTAGCCCTCGTTCTACATCAACTCGAACTTAGTTTTTAGCATCTATTACATTCGAAGGAGAAGATTAAAGCTAACAAAACGAATCACCTCGAACACCATGTTAGCAATAGACCTGATCGAGAATTGAACTTCAACGGTACTAATCTCCCTTAAAAGTTTAGGGTTTGAACTCTCGTGTTACAATCCTAATGTGATATTTTAAAAAATAAATACAAGTATAAAATATTCAAAAAAAATCAAATTGTTTTTCTTTTTCAAATTAATTCACATTATTTATATTTTTTTTTTAAATCCACTTTTATTATTTAATTTTTAAAAATATATACTAATTGTCATCAATATGGTAGCCATGTTTACTATTACTTGGCCACCATTTTTCATCTTGACTTTGACCATATAAAATCAAGCCTAAATTATGTCAAATATATTTAATATATAGTTTTCAATTTAATAAAATTAATAAAAAAATTATTTAAAATTTTACATTTAGACTAATTAAAAAATATGACGAATTGATACAGTTAGAAAATTATTAAAAAAGGGTCCTTTTTTATATTTATTATTTTTTTCTAAATTGATAATTGGATTATATATTAATTTTGACGAAAAATCGAGCTAGGGATTTAACTCGGGGTATGCAACTAATTTTTATTATTTATTGTATTATTACAAAACTTAATTGAAATTAATACGTAATAACTATTGAGATATTATTACCGACTTTTGCCTTAAAAAATCTTAATAATTAGTAAATTATGGAGAAATTATGGTGAAATTATTTTATTTTATGTTGTTATTTGAATTTTGTCATTTTTTATTTTCAATATTATGGATGACATTTTATGAATGGCCCTCAATTAATTATAAAATTTAAATTTGAAATTATCTTTTTTGGATGTCCCACAAACTTTAGTACCTTTAATAATTTGAAAACTCAATTAATTAAATGTATTGTTTAATTATTTTAAACCTATTTTCTTATTAATTTTTTTTTAAATATATAAAAAAAACTAAATTAATAAAAATATCATAAATTTTGTTTTTCATTTAAAAAATACTTATAAAATATTCATAAATTATATTCAAACTTTTTAAGTTTAATTTTAAAAGGTCGGATTATTTTTTCTTAACATGGAAGCAAAATTATTTTTGAATTTTTAAAAATTTTAAAATATTTGAAAACTCAATCGTATTTTCTTAAATTATTTAAGTTTTTTTTTTAAATTAATGATAGTAAAAAAATTTAAGTTTAGAAGTATTAAAAAATGGAGTTAAAATGTAAAATTTAAAGATATTTTTATTAATTTATATATTAAAAAAAATAAAGCAATTTGTGGGGACAGAGATGTCCTTTGCAGCCTTTGACAGAACAACGACCAGCTGATATTTGGCTGGGAATATATGTTCCTATTTTCTTTCCTTTTGGATTTTAAATATATATATATATATATTATAATTAACTTTCCAAAGCTAATATTTTGAAATTTTAAATAATTTGAGAATTAAAAAAAATATTATTTTCCTTTTAAAAATATAAATTTATCTGGACCATGTAATTTCTAAATTTGGGTTCAACTTTTTATTTTATTTTAGTTTTATTTTTAGAAAAATAATAATTTAATTCATGGATCACTAGTCTACGTTGAAAGAAAGTTATTTATTTACTATATTTTTAAATATTTTTTAAAATAATGTTTTAATTGTGACTCGAAAGATTTAAACCGTTACCTTAGAAAATTGTTGAAATAAATATTTTAAAATTACAAAAATTAAAACAGGCAAAAACGGAAAAAATACAAGAACTAGAATAAATATTTTCAAAATAAATAATTTATATAATACAAAAAAAACTTTCAAACCACCATAAAATAATTATTAAATACTAGAATAAACATTTTCAAAATAAATAGCTCCCCAGTGGTTAATGGGCCTCCACGTAGACAAAAATAGGCCCAACAAATTTGTTGTTTCGAAATTGGGTATGGGTTTGGGCTTCTGACGTGTCCTCCTCAATTTTATTAATAATTAATATATATATATATATATATATATTTAGTATAACTAATTAAGAAATTTGGTTTCTAATTAATAAACTGGATGAATAAATAATAATTATATACCGTAAAATAGAGGTGTACACAGATTGAATTAGGAAGACTTTTTGAACCAACCTAGGTCGGTAACGTGAACCATCCAAATAGAGTTCATAACTCAACCCACCTCTCTTTTTTTAGTCGGGTTAGGATACGAGTTATTTTTTTTTTAAATTGTTTTAAAAAAACCATACTTGTTCACAGTAATATTACATTAATAATAAAAATTTGATAAATTTCAAATATCAAATCTTCACCCGTAACAATACATCACTACTATCGGTTACCTAGGTTAAATATTCTTAATATTCATACTGATATAAAAAATAGTGTGTAAGGTAGTGTTGAATTGTAACCCTATTTTTGAGTTCGTCGAGTTTATTTGATAAAAAAACCGTCAATGTATGAACGATCTGAATTTTCAATTAAAAAAAATAAAATTCAATCCAATTCAACTTTTATGCATCGGGTTCGTTAGCCCGTGTCGGTCAAGTTCTTGAGTTATTTGAACAAAGGTATATAAAATTACCAATTTAGCCTCTAATTTTTAGATAATTCTTTTTAGTAAAATAAATGTGAATTTGCGAAAAGTACCGATTTACCCTTCTTTCTCGTTGGTTCCTATCCGCGAAAACTCCCCCAAATTTCACTGATCGGAAGAAATTTAAAACACAGCAGCTTCAAAATTTGGGAATTTGCGAGCCCTAGCTTCGTCTTCCCGAGTTTCAACATACTCTTTGTTCCAGTTGGAGATTATAATCTCGGAATTGCCGTAAATGTCTTCCGCAAAAAAGCATTACAAGGATAAATTTGCTCGTAACAAGTAAGTATAGCTCCAATATTATGCGATTTCTATTGTTTTGTTTGGATTTTTCCATTCTGTACTTTGTTCCAGCAAAAAATTTGTGAGAAGTTTTAGGGCAATGTTCTTTGTGTCTGTTATTTCGTTGGATACTTTACAGGGAGGAGAAAACAGAAGAACCGGAAACTCCTAAATACAGAGACCGAGCTAAAGAACGAAGAGAAGATCAGAATCCTGATTATGAATCCACCGAGCTGGGTTTTCATGCTGTTGCCCCTCCTGGGACTGTGGACATTCGGTTAGACCTGCTGCCTCCATTTGCTCAATGCAATTTTCTTTTTAGTTTGTTTTTAAGTATTTTCTTCTTCATTTGTTCATTTTGTTAATATTACTTTATCTTTTTCCAGAGCGGCTGATGCACACAAGTTATCCATTGAGAAGAGCAAGTACCTTGGAGGTACGCCTGTAGAAAGATATAGTTTTTCCTTTTGAACTATGTAAAATTAGGAACTATTCTCCCTTTGCAATTAATTAAAATTCGGGTACATGTATTTAGCCAATCTTAACGTAGGTTAATTGGTCTATGCATATATCCTCAGCTAAGAGTTGTTGATGAATTTTTTTTTTTTTAAATGTTAACTAGGAACAATTCTCTCTTTGCAATTATTTCAAATTTGGGTTTATATATTTAGCCAACTTAAGCATATCTCAACTGGTCTAGGCATATATCTTCATCTGGTTAGAGGTTAGAATACCCACCCCTATGTCGATGAACTAAGGAAAAAGAATTTTTATAATTAGGACCTATTCTCCCTTTGCAATTTATTGAAATTTGAGTGGATATGTTTGGGAAAGTTTTTGATTGTTTCATTCTGGTCCTCACTTTTTGCTGATTAATGAAAAGTGTGTTTTTAGTTAAGAAAGAGGTTTAACTTGCCCATTTTTTCTCCTTGCTGGTCTAGTGTCTTTTGGAGAAGTTCTCTATCATAAATTATGCATTGTGAGTTGCTGGAATCCTGCTAATCTCGAAAGCTGTTATTTATGGCTGTTATAGTTGGAATCATCAGACATTTCCAAGTCATTATTATTATATTATTATTATTATTATTATTATTATTATTCTTGTTTTGTTGTCGTTATTATGATTATTATACTAATATTTTGAGCTGCTTCGATGCAGGGGACGTTGAGCATACCCATTTGGTGAAAGGTTTGGATTATGCCTTGCTCAATAAAGTAAGAAGTGAGATTGATAAGAAGCCAGACGCTGGCGGTGATACTGAAGGAAAGGCTAGGTAACTGATTGCCGCCCATTTATCTCGATGTTTATTTTGGTGAAATATAGTGAAACAGACACTTGTCGCAACAACTCAGTTGCTTTTGTGAATAGTTCTCTATTTCATGCCATACTTTCCTTACTTGAGTTTAATATTTAAAAGATTAAGGAGTTGATAATTTGCCTACTTATGTTAAAACTTTCTATTAGAATGAATTGAAAACAAAATAAGTGGTGGGTTTGTTCAAATTATCTATTCTTTTTGTACAATAATGTCCGATGATGTTTTTTCAACAGTCTTTCTTCTTTTACTATAATGACATAACAATCTGATGAATGCTGATATTGCAGTACACTCAAGGAAGACCAACAAATTTTGTTTCGAACTGCAACAGCAAAGGTGTATTTTATTTCTTAACATTAAAGTTTTGTCAATAGGGGTTTATTCCGGTTATGGTCATATGCTTCTGTGGGTTGTTTGTGCTAACTCTTTGTGCTTATTCTTCTGTATTTCAGTCAGTATACAAATGGATCGTCAAGCCCCAGACAGTTATTAAGTCAAATGAGACATTCCTTCCTGGTAGAACAACATTTATTTTTAACATGGTAATCAACGTTTTCCTTTTATCTTGTTTAGTTTAAATAAAGCTGACTGACAGATTTATCATATTCCTCCATCCATGTCATCAGGGGTTCATTTTAAAAGCAACGGTGTTTTCATTGGAATTTACCCACATTTTTGTTCGTTGAGTTGAGGTCAAAGCGTGCTCAGATTGCTTTAACTATCATTTATAATTAAATGAGCAATTGTTTCTTCTATTTTTACGTGCATGATATATAGCGTGATCATATGGATGGAACAGTTGCCTTTCATCATGTGATTTGATTTTTTAAGGCAACTACAAATTGTACCCCTCAAAATACGCTAGCCTCTTTCTTCTTTAGAATTGGTTTAAAGCACTCATGCACTTTATTTTCTGGCCCCATTTTACCCTTCTGTTTAATAGAGTTGGTGCACATAGGTAAAATTAGACAAGTAAACCATAGGAGTGTTTGATACCAATTTAGATGGAGCAATGTAATTTTCAGATTGCACTAACAAGAGTGTAATTGCCTTTATACATTATTTTTTAAACATATAATCTTATCAGCAAAATGTGGTGGTTTGTTGGGTTATGAATTAAAATCTTCGATAGCTGCATTGTTGATTAGTAGGTGTTTGTCTTCCAAACTTTGAACACTATAGGATCTAAATTTTGCTCTGTTTTATATTACCGGATTTCAACCATACACTTCATCAAATATTAAAAAAAAAAAAAAAAAAAAAAAA